GCGGGCGCCCGGCCACTGAGCATGCCCAGCGCGCCCGGCCGCGCTCGCTGCTAGCTGAGAGGTCCCCGGGGGCGAGGGAGGGAGCGCTCGAGTGGGCACCGGCCTGGGGTCCCGGCAGAGGGACGGAGATGGGGGCGGGCCGTACGGGGCGGCCCGCAGATCCCAGAGCTCCCTCCCCCCACAACCCCCAGGTCCGAGCAGTTTGCAGAATCCCGGGTGTCCTGGGACTCTCTCTCTAGGGGTGGGTTCACGCGTTTGCGGAAAAGTGCTGCTGAATATTCTAATGCGTGAGGGTTCCCCCTGGAACCCTAACAGTGAGTGCAATTAAAAAAAAAGTCTCTGATGACCCTTTTAATTAGTATGTTGGAACTTCCTAGAGAAATGAATGGCACAGAGCATCTTGAACACACAAGGCTGAAAGTTTCCGAGATGATCGCCCAGACATCCCTTGACGTTCTGTCCCTTCAGTTGCATTTCTAAGAAATGTCTTTAGCCTGTTCCTGCAAGTTAGTTGTTCATAAAGATGTTTTTGCACCTTAAAAATATGTTTCATTCTCTTGTGGGATACCTCGCCTCCAGCCCGTTTCGACTCGTGATATTTTTCACGGAGAGATGATTTCTCTCTCCATTCTTTGGCTTAAAACTGTTCTATCCTCTTTTTAACCCCACAAAAACCAAACGCCGAGACAAACAAGCCACTGAAAAGCTCACCGAGCCCTAGTGGCCAGGTTGCGCATGCGCAGGGCACGAAAAGGGGGAAAGCTCGAGTTTGGGGTTGCTCAGGTTGAACTAAACATGGGGAAAGGAAGGCAGTTAGGATAGTTTAAAATTCTGATATTAGCACTCATTAAATAAAAATTTGGGGGACCTCCCAAATTCATTCCCAATACACACTATGTGTCAAAATTAATGTTTAAAACTTTTCATTCATTCATTTGGTTTCACACTAGGAGGAGAATTTGCATTTCCATCCCTGATACACTGAATCACAACGCACAAGAATCTCAAGTGATTCTTATATATACATATATCTTATGAGGCTTTTGTTAAAATGTAGATTCCGATTCAATATGTCCTGGAGGGGAAATGCAAGTTTTCTGCATTTGGGAGGTACTGAAGTGAAGTGTAAAGAAGCCCTAATATAAATTTCTTTGGTAAGATATCACCACACATATCTTTCTGTATTGTGGATGTGGGTCATGGTCACTCTTTTAAGGTCTATTCTTTTTAAAACTGGAAAATAAAACATATAATGTAATTGAGTGAGCTTTACAGTTACTATTTTATCACTCAGACATTTTCCTATCATGAGCCTATTGGCTTTGTGAGCAGGTGGAAATGTTATTTTTAAGAGACTGTGATCTGTTAAGGACAAGGATGATGTCCTTTCTCTATGACAAGCCTTGCACAGTGTGTACACCCAGTATAAACAATAAATCAGTTGTCAGGATTTCCTTTCCTCACATGCATCCTTCCCCAGCAATTTCCTCTTCTGTTTAGTGTAGATTGCAGCAATGGCACAATGCTTCCTAGGCTATAGTTTGGCAAACAAATAATTCTAAACTTTACATTGTACTCTCTTTTGAAAGAAAATCCAGTACATCTGAAAATCTTGCATGAAGAGAGATTAAAAAGGGGAAAAAATTAACAAAAATAAGTAAAGTATAAATTCTTGTTTTAAGTAGCAATGCAATGACCCTCAGGTTTATAGGACATTTCCAAAGACTAGGAGAACTTGGTGACATAATCTAAGCTACAAACTGAAAGACCATGCCTCTCCAGCTGTTCAAATCTACCAGCCACTCTACAGAAGAAAGATGGGCAATCTCCTCCCATACAATGAATAAATAGCCTTGAAAACCCAGTGGAGGGTGGGTTATATGAAACAGTTCCAACTCAGTGATGGTAAGAGTGAGGGCATTTTATATACAATTCCAATAATTAAATCCCGAGACATGATGATCACTGTTTTGAGAATTCAAACTCTGCTACTTTCTAGCAATGTGACCTTGGGCAAATTCTCCAACTCCTCTAAACATCAAGTTTCACATCTAGAAAATAAAAAAAAAGAAAGAAAAATAAACACAAACCAGTATTTATCTCATGGTTGTTGTCAGTAACAAACCAGTGTAATACTTTGCCATTCAAATTGTAGTCTGTGATCCAGTGCCATGACCTAGGAGTTTGTTAGAAAGGCAGATTGTTCCGCCAGGGCCAGACCTATTGAATCAGAGCTTTGATGCTAATACATGGGTGCACATTATAATCTGAAGAGAACTGACACAATTCATAAAATATGTATGTCTGCAGTGAGCACTCAATTACATCTAATGGTAACCATTTTAGTTCACAAAAAGGCAGCAATGAACAAATATATATAATGTTAAATATTGCACATATGAACAGCATAGTAATGCACATTATACATATAATATTACACCTCAACACAAAAAAGACAAAAATCCCTACCTCTGGACTAATAGACAGTATCATGATCAGTGGAAGAAAGAGTGAAATTATCAAGGATTTCATTCTATTCAGATCCACAATCAATATTCATGGAAGCAGAAGTCAAGAAATCAAATAATGGATTGCTTTGGGAAAATTTGCTATCAAGGATCTCTTTAAATTGCTGAAGAATAAGGCTGGCAGTTTAAAGACTGAGTGTTTTATCAAAGACATCATATTTTAACTGTTATATATGCATGAGTGAATATCACAGACTAACAAAGGAACAAACAAATTTGTCTTGAAATAATGCAGCCAGTGTCTTCCTTAGAAGTAAGGCACTTCCTCTCACATACTTTGGCCATGTTATTTGGAGGGTCCAGTGTTTTACAGGAGAAATATCCTGCTTAAACAGTAAAGGGTCAGGGAAGCAAAAGAAGACCCTCAATGAGATGCAATGAGGGCCCAGTATTTGCAACAATGGACTTAAACAGCAGAGATTGTGTGAATGGGCAAGGTTTCAATCCCTTAGACACAGGGTCTCTACGAGTTAGAGTTGAGTTGACAGCACCTAACAACAATGTTAGGGATTCCCATTCTTCTCAATGTCAGCTACAATTTGTTGTAATCTACACAGTCAAATGCCTTTGCACAGAATAAAATATAAACAGACATTCGTCTCTACTCTCTGCTTTCAGTCAGGATCCATCTGACACTGCAATGAGGTCCCTAGTGCCACAGCCTCTTCTACACCCAGCTTATATTTCTGATAGTTCTCTGTTTATAAACCATTCTAATCATTTTGAAGGATTCTGAAGCTTCGTCTGACATATTTTGGGCATGTTGCAAGGAGGGACTGGTCCTTGGAGAGGGACATCATGTTTGGGAGAGTGGAGGGGAAGCAAAGGAGAGGAAGACCTTTGGTGAAGTGGATCGATTCTGTGACTGGAGCGGTGGGAATAAGTGCATTTAAGATGGCTAGGAACAGCATTTAGAGTTCTTGTACATAGGGTCGCTATGAGTCGCAAGCGACTCGATGGCACATAACAACAACAACAATCATTTTGAATAATTTTCAGCAAGATTTTGCTTGCATGTGATATTAATGGCATTGTTCCATAATTTCCACACTCTCTTGGATTCATTTTTTGTGATGGGAATAAACATGTGTCTTTTCCAAGCAGCTGGTCAGATAGCTGTCCTCCAGATTTCTTGGCACAAGCTGGTGAGGGTGGCATCTGTTTGTTAAAATATTATCAATTGGTATGCCATCAATTCCTAGGGCCTTGTGGTTTGTTTATTTGTTTGTTTGTTTGGGTTTTTTTTTTTGTCAGTCCCTTCAGAGCAGCTTGAACTTCCTCCTTTATTGCCATCGCTTTTTGATCATATGGTAATTCATGAAATTGTTCTGTGTCAGCCAATTCTTATTGGTACAGTGTCTCTGTGTATTCATTCCATCTTCCTTTGGAATGTTTCCTGCATCATTCAATATTCTGCCCATGTTGTTGTTGTTTTTATTGTTGTTGTTATGTGTCATCCAGTAGCCTCATAGCCACCCTATCTATAGCACCTCTGAACCCTGCCTTGTCCTGAGCCAGTCTCACTAATTCCAACACACCTACCTCCATTGCCCCAGTCACTGTGTAAATCCATCTCATCCGAGATCTTCCTCTCCTGCTTTGTCCCTCTACCCTTCTGAGCATGATGTCCTTCTCCAAGGACTGGTCTCTCGAGACCATGTGCCCAGAGTATGTGAGATGGAGCTTCAAAATCCTAGCCTCCAAGGAGAAACTTAGTTTCACCCTCTCAAGAGAGACCTATTTGTTTTTATTGGCAGTCCATGGTATATATTTGAGACTCTTCTCTAGCATCACAATTTGAAGGCATTGATTCTTTTTTTCTGCCATTAGTCATTTTCCAGCTCTCTGATCTTTAGCAAGTAATTGGGAATATCATGGCCTGGATTAGGTGCACTTTAGTCTCTAGACTGACATCATTGCTTTTCAGTACTCTGGAGAGGTTCATGACAGCAGATTTTCCCACTGCAATTCATCTTTTGATTTCCTGACTGTTAGTGTTAAGAGTGTTGATTGTGTAGCCGAGTAAGCTGTAATTGTTAACTTCAATCTCTTATCCATCTATCATGGTGCTGCCAACTGGCCCACTGATGAGAATCTTTTTCTTCTTGATGTTGAGCTTCAATCCCATAGCATCTTTAAGAACCACAGCTTGAGGCTTGGATTTGTATAATTGAAATAATAACACTATATGCA